GGGGCGGGCCCCAGCCATTTAAATTTAAATGAAGCCGCGATTATTTTAATCGCGGCTTCATTTCCCTTTTCCGATCTGGCTAATCTACATGCCTCCGTCGAAGGAGGCATGTAGTCTAGACACACCCCTGGTGAGCACATCCCTACTTGGGCTGAAGTAGAAATGTTCTTGGTAGAATTGCAATCACTAAATAGCATTGCTGTCTGCAAGAATATTCGAGTGTTTGGACTGCAGATCTTGCACCTCTGCATTGGCTTTTAAATCCAGCTCAAGCCAGTTATCAGATGATAATACCTCTAGGAGACTCCAGCTAGATGGGTAATCTATGTTTTAAGAAATGTTCCTTAGTGCTCAAGAGGGAGGTTCAAACAGGTATTTAAGAGTGTATCATCAAGAAATCACTCTAAAGATGACATACTAAATAGAGTTGGTTGGAAATTCTATGATCGAACATTTTCCCATCGATATGTAAATGAGTAAAAAATGAAATGTTTCATGCAGATACTTCAATTTTGACCCAATTGCAATGGAATCCAAGATCATGCATTGCTCATGGAACTGTCTTTGGTTTCTTACAAACTCACCTGCCTGGCTCATTGGTAGCCTGTCCTTTCTGGCTTTCAGCTGTTTGGCAACCCATGAGCCTGGAAGCCCAGCTCCAAAGCACCCGGGCTCCTTGTCAGCTCACCTGGTGGTCTGCCACAAAGTGGGGCTTCCAGGATCATGGGTCCTCAACTGCTCACCAGGTTGGACTGTCCCCAAGGTGGCTACCCCAAAGTGCTCAGAATCTGAGGCTCTGGAATGGCCCACTCTGCAGACTGCCTCAGCGCTGGGGCTCCCTTTCCTTTTGTGGAGAAGTTGAAATTTTTGGCCATTGTTCCAAATCAGACTGAAACCAGATTTCCAAATATCAAAAGCCATCGCGGTGAAATGGCGTTACCGTGTTCTGCGCAGCTCAACGATTTTCCCTGATAGAACACTTCAGCCACAGGATGGACCAGGTAGGCAGCATTATCCTCATTTGACAGAGGAGGAAATGGCACAGAGAGCTTAAGGGAATTCCTCTCAGGCACATGGCAACTTGATAGAAGAGCTAGGATCCTAGAACATTCAGCTCTGTGGTGCATTGCTCTCAACTCCATCACCATCCTCAGGCTTTGATTCTGACGTCCTACATGATTCTACACAGTGGATAAATAAATCACTGTGAGAAAGGTCTGCTTTTGAAATCAGCTTCTGCAATTTTTCTTACAGGTCTTATAAATCGCCTTGAAGGTAGATGCAATCCCAACTGCCAACTTGTGTGAATTGAGTTTGGTGGTTTCCGTTCAGATCCTGGTGGTATCCACCGTACCACTGTCCACTAAAATCACTGGCCAACTCACATCCCAGTAGGCTCAGAAAAAGCTTATGGGTTAACAGGGAGTGGAGAATGAGTTTGCTCTTTGAGATAGTCCGCTCTCACTGCCCATGCACAATAGTATCTGGTCTTTTTCAAATGGAGCATTAAAATTCAGCTAACAAAAACGATCTACTCATTATTCTTTTCATGCCTCTGGCCTTTTGTAGTTTCAAACGCACAGCTCTGAAGCGGAGTCTGACTTTTTTTTGTTACGATTGTAATTGCAAACATGTTGAGGGACAGAGTTCGGATCTGTGATGTGCAAGCAAGTAAAATCACCTGCTGTGCATTTGCAAGATGAGTGGTGATGTATGCCATAGGTCTCTGATTACTAAGGGGAAACTTTGCAAATGTTTAAATACTGACAAAGGGAGAGCAGTTTTGGGGTGACATAAGGAAGATAACAAAGGAACTATGAGATGAAACTGAGCATCGACATGTTTGGATAAATACCAGGGAGCATTTATGGGAGTGTATGGAATAATCTCCAAATAGTGACTATCCTATTGTAATAGAGGCATGGTCCCTCTTAGCTGCTTTACATCGTGATCACATGGGTGGCACAGTAACGGTAGGTTTAAGCCCATATTCCTCTGCTAGGAAGCGAATTTTGACAAGGGTCAGTCACCATTAGCTATAGCAGTCTAGGGCCTCAGCTAC